GCCGGAAGATCAATAACAGCAATTGCTGCTAATATTCCGTGTTCTGAAAAAACTGTTCGACGATGGATACGACGATTTGCCAAGGGCGGTGATGATGCTTTGAAAGATCATCGTGTAAATAACCATGGTCCTCGTAAGACCAGCCCGGAAGAAGAACAGGCTCTCGTTGCTGCAATTGCTGATCGACCTTTCAGCACCATTCAGGAAGCCATCAACGCAGCGAATGTCCAAATATCGGAGACGACCGCCCGGCGACGTTTAAACGAAGCTGGGTATTACTACCGATACCCAGCCCACAAAATTCCATTACGTCGTATTAAATTTAATAATTACATAGAACGTATTGTCAGAAATTATATTAATATTGACTTCACCAAGCATTTTCGTTTGTCACGGAAAATAGCTAATGAACTTATTGCACGCTTTGAAATATCAGACATTTTTACATCTTTGCAAGGTATTTTATTATGAATAATTTAAAAGTATTTAATTGTTTCAAGTTAACTTCATACAATAACATATTTAATATTTAATTTAAAATTATAGAACACGCAGGATATATTCCAATAACGAGTGAGAAATATATTTTAAGTTATTTGTGGTTTCTTGGCCATGAGAGTGCAGGCTATCGAGATGTATCTGATCGATTTGATGTTACAATAGATACATTGTGTACAATTATAACAAGAGTAACGAAATTTTTAATGCAACTTGCACCACAAATAATAAAATTTCCTACGTTGGAGGAAAAAGAAGCAACAAAGACACATTTTCTGCAATTAAAAGGATTTCCTGGAATTATTGGTACTAACAAAATTTATTTCTTGTGTATTAAATTGAAATATGTATTAAATTTATATTTATTTTTATATAACATTTATTTTCAGGCTGTATAGACAGTACACACATAAGAATTGACAAACCACAACAGGATCATGAATCGTACATTAATAGAAAGCAATATTTTTCTATTCATATGCAAGCAACTGTTGATCATAACATGAAATTCATAGATGTTTTTATTGGCAATCCAGGATCCGTCCATGATGCAAGAGTATTCAAGGAATCTCCTTTGTACAAATCTCTTCAAGAAATTTGCTCAGGTTAGCAATGATTGACATCAGTATAATTTTTTTTAAATTTATATCTAGATAAATAAATCTTATTTTAGATGGATCTTACTTACTTGGAGATAGAGCATATCCATGCTTAAAAAATTTAATAATTCCGTACAGAGATACTGGACATTTAACTCGAGCACAAAAACATTTTAATCAAAGATTAAGTTCATGTCATGTTAAAGTCGAAAATGCAATTGATTGGTGGAAACAAAGATTTAGACAATTATATCATTTTAAATTGCAAAACATCGTACATATGGTTCAAATTATACATGCTTCTTGTGTTTTACATAATTTAGCAAATAAAGATGATTTAGAGTTGTTGTTAGAGTCTCCAAGTAACGATGATTATCCTGATCCAGAAGCAGTAATAAATATTGAAAATGATGAAGAAATAATTTATGAAAATCAGCATGGTTGTGAATTGCGAGACAAATTGTGTCATCAACTATATGCGCGGTAATATACCTAATATTGTACTAAAATACTATAGAATACTTCATAATTAGTTTATTATATCACACACAATATTTTTTTTATATGTACATAAACATATATATTTAAACATATATATATAATATAATATAATATAATATATATTTTTTTAAACATATATATTTATGTGTTATTAATAATTATCTTTATTATACAAAAATAAATGTAATTGTAACTATAATAATATTATAACAGTGGCAACATACTTTTTATGATAATTATAACCGAGATACAAAAAATTGAACTGAAATACATAAAAAACAATATTATTGCTTGAAAAACTCAGAAAATGAAAAATAAAGACAATTTAGAGTAATTGTATTTAAAGTAATTGTGTCTAAAATAATAAGATATCTCTGTAATATGTCGAATAACATTTAAGTCTGAGCGTTTCCCAGCAAGGACACAGTGAATCATTATATTTTTGTCAGTGAACGTTAAGGTGATGCTAAAGCCTCCTATGTGGGTTTTACCCACATTTCCATTCGGTGAAAAATCTCTGTATTGGATTGCAAAAGTATTATTACATAAATTAAGGTACACGCAACCAGAACCTCAGCTGCACTGGATTCCACGAGAAAATAAAAAAAAATTTTTAATTCGTTAAAAATTCACTTTTGGCTCGTACAGCTGTTACCTCAGATATATTTGCTTGATATAAGAGTTTTAAAGTCTATATTTTGAAAATAAGCGTGCAGCTGAGGTCACATTATTGAAACGAACGATACCGAGTTTGTAGAACTAAGATTGAAAGTCTAGAAAAAAAGTATTGCCACCGAATAGAAAATACGTGTATACAGGTGCTTTGCGAAGACTGTCAACAGAGCCGAAATTCCGTGTAGCAGTAGTTGCAATAGATATTGCTGGCATATGTTAAATAAGAACAGATGTATGCGTTTGAGTAAGACAGAATGATATATATTATATATAATATAATGTAAAAACTAAATCAAAGATGTCATCACTATTATCGAATTTGGAATTAAAGAAGTCTGTACTATCGACCTTGATTGAGTTCGGTAATCGGTTTAGCATCCCGTTAAACAAGAATTAAATGATTTACTGTGTTATACTGTTCTTGTTGGAAAACATTTTTTGAAAATTTAGAAAAATTTAAGAAAATAGAAAATGACGGAAAGAGAGTAACAGCACTTATGTCTCTAAAATAAAAACAAAATTTTTGTAATATATTGAATAAAATTTAAGCGTAAAAAAACTTTAAGAAAATAAGTGCAATGTGGATTGTATTTATTTATCCAAAATAAAAACAAAATATAATATTTTTTATTTTTATTTCACAATAACTACATGGCTTTATTATTTTGACTCATATTTCATCTCTGACTGTCGACACCACAAGATCTTTATGTCGTGTCGTGAAAAACGCTTACATATAAGTTGATAAAATTAAAATTCAGATAAATGATTTTAATGATTCTCTAATTTTTCGTTTTTTACTTCCTTTTAAATGACTACATAGCAAACCTGACAATCTGATGAGTGATGTGATTCTACTTATTGACGCAATGTATATGACTCCGGTTTTACTTTATGTAAGTTTTTATATTATTATTAAGTAAGTTAGTATTTTTGATAATCATTTGGCTATTTATTACATAGCTAATTCGGCATTTGGATGAAGATGTTAAAATAAAACTTGAATGGCAATCTTATCTTCATGTGTTATGCGTTATGCAAGAATCTGTGCTCTCCGCTATAGGGTATATCCACACAACTTGCATAGCCGCATAAACGTATGCATAAAGAAAATTATCCAATCGCATTTCTTTTATAAAGGCGCACGTAAAATGTGATTGGATAATTTTCTTTATGCATATACGTTTATGTGCGGCTATGTAAGGGCCCAGACACAAGCTTTTGCATAAGTCCGGATCTACAATAGGTGTTTTATGCCTTATGCCGTAAGAAACTGACCAATTACAGTCGAATTCGAGAAGAATAAGCGACTGTGATTCGCCCATTTCTTATGGCTTAAGGCTTAAAACCCTATTGTAGATCCGGGGTAATGCATAAACCCGGATCCTCATACGGGCAACAGCGCTTTGACACCGAACGCTGATTGGTGAAAAACGGGTGATGGGGATAAATTTTACCCCCACAACCGGCTTTTCACCAATCAGAGTTCTGTGTCGAAGCGCTGTTGCCCGTATGAGGATCCGGGCTAATACATAGTGCATAATGGAATCAACCAATCGAAATTCTGCTTTTCCATGGAATGAGAGGAAAGGAAAGCTTCTGATTAGTTGATTCGCTTATGCGTTAGGGTCCGCGCACAAAGATGGTCGCAACTGAGTCGTAGTCATAAGTCGTCGTAGGTCAACGCACAAGGATTTTATGTATGTCGTTTACGTATATCCTATTGCGTCAGTTGACGCAAACAACTGGCGCAATAGGATATACGTAAACGACATACGTAAAATCCTTGTGCGTTGATCTACGACAACGACTTACGACTACGACTCAGTTGCAACCATCTTTGTGCGCGGATCCTTATGCAAAAGCTTGTGTCTGGGCCCTAAGTTTGTGTGGATATACCGGCAGGATCCCGTTTGCCTACAGTTCTGATTGTACACACCACTCATATCAACTGGTGCCTAGTAATTTTTTACTGTTTTGCCAATGAGATTATTGTATTTTTAAATTGGCCAATCAGCGATACGTGTGTGCAATATGCGATGTGTGCAATCGGAGCCCTCCCGATATACCATTAGTGCAAAAGTGCAGAAAGTTCATGCAACGCGAACAAATAAAATTATTAAAACGTACGACAAAGGTTCATGTGGCGGCCGTGATGAGGGCGTTAGATGTCGATCGGGCGCTGTGCAGCGTGGTGCAGCTCCCGGGAAGATAATAAACAAAAGAGACGATGGTTCGTCTCTCTTGAAAGGCATCTTTCCCTTTGTCACGGATGTCTCGCGTCGTGTTCGCGGCCGTTTGAGGTTATTTTCTCGTGAGTGAGACACCGCCATCGGGGGCTGAGTGCCCTCAAAAAGAAACGCGACGCGATCCGCTCGTATCCTTTACCCCTCGCCCTTCCCTTTGCCCGCAATCCGCAATTCAGATTCAGCGGCGCGAACTCCGTTTGATTGCGATTTTGACAGGTTATGTTGACAGGGCGCGTGTAACCTTGGCAGTGCCTCGGGGCGACCTCGATCGCTCGAGAATCTGACTCGCACAATTATCATTCTCCCCTCGTGTAGCGTTACGTAATTAATCTCAGTTTGTTTCACAAAAGCCGCGCAGCGTAGCACCCGCAGGAACCACAGGGTTTCAATTTTCATGCGGCCGCATCTGTCATAACGTGCCGCGATTCCGACCGCTCGCCGCGCCATATTGATAGCGGAGTATTTTCATTTGGTAACTCCTATTTTTTTCGGAACACTTCGCACATGCGGTACGCTTTTATTGTCAAAGCGGTTGCGAAACTAGAATCTTCGATACTCCGGGTCTTCAATAAGGCGAGCTTTGTACATGTAACAAGCTATACTAATTTGGAAATGGTTTCGAAAATTAGTCATTTTTAGACTCTCGCACATTGCTTCAAGACTTAAAAACTCTGACCGATACAATCTGCACATACAATTTTGAAAGGCAAGCAAGATCGCAGTTTCCTTATTCGAACGTTACTAACACCGAAGACATCTGCACGAAAAATAAAACGCACATTTTAATAGCACATTGAATTTTGCGTGTAGGGTTTTCGCTATTGAATTGATTAACTTTCAGTTGCAAAATGACAGAAAGTAGTGTACCCAGAATGAAGTCGCGTAATGGAGCGCGACTCTTTAAGAATCCACCACAGCCGCACATGTGTATACAAGATTTTATACAGGTATTATACCGTTGTGATAACATTGCTATTACTGCAAGAGTTTATTACATAACTTGTACAGAAATCAATGGCGTGAGTATTACGTAAATATCAATTTTCTTGATAGGGTACTACAGCTCCATGTTATGTAAACGTATTGTCTTGGGACAAAATTGCAATGCCTCGCAGACCTTCACTGCCTGTGCCACTCTATGGAGGTATGAGAGTGCCACCCCCTCGCACAAAGACAGAGGCTATAGTGTTTGCTGTAATGGCCAATCCAGAAGTCCTACGAATAAATGGCAAGAATGCTCAGGACGCTAAAGTAAGTAAAACATTTTTAATCTATAGAGATTTCACTAATATTCCTTGTTATATTAACTCTGAAGGAGTATAAAGTCTGTAATATTTTTATCACCTATTGTATCATAACTATTATTTTCTAACAGAAGCGTACAAGTTTTATCGAGTTACTATTAGACTTCATAGAAGCGATGAACGCAGGGATAGTTTTCAATCGTAATTATACGATAATGAAAGATCGAGACATCACGGGTGAGCTGAAGGAGGTTTGGAATGCAGTGCTAGCCATACGCGACAACGAGCAGCGTCCTCCTCAGCAGGAAACTTGGATTGATGTTCAACCTCCCATGTCACAATTCCCACAGTATCCAGAACAACATCAGCAGCAGCAAGAGTATATACCACAACCACCGCAGTATCACTCGAGCGTCACTTATGGTAGGATTATTAACAACGAAAATATGCATTATGAGAACTATGGACATCAGCCTCAGAGTCCGGTAATTTCCAAAAACGAGCCTATCTTCATATCTGGGCATATTGTGGCGCAACACTCCAACAACGTTCGTCAAATTACACTTGATCAACGTACTGACAACTATCGCGAACGCGGCAGAGATAGTCAAGTTGTGCAGAATATTATTGCTGCACAGCATCAATTTCAACCGAGGCAAACGTGGCCACAGTATATGAATACAAAATACATGCATCCAAATTCGAATCTACCATATGGACCACCTGCAAATACCACTCCGGCTATTAATCCTCCGAACCAAATGAAGCCTTTTCAGCCATATAATACTTATCAGCAGCAACAACAGCAGCACCAGCAGCAGCAGCAGCAGCAACAACAACAACAACAACAACAACAACAACAACAACAACAACAACAACAACAGCAACAGCAACAACAACAACAGCAACAACAACAACAACAGCAACAACAACAACAGCCGATACCGCCTCCGCCGCCGCCGCATATGGATAATGCAATGCACGTTAATATTCGCAGGATGCAACCGCAACCACAGCAGCCACAAATACACTTTAATCACGTACAGTCACAATATGTTGAGCAATCTGGATCATTCAATGTACAAAACAATGCGCATAGAGCAAGTAGACCGCATATGGGAGTAGCTCAGAAAAACAACGCTACTAAAAGACAGGCAAATTCACCGACACATATTTCTTGTACAAATTGCCAAAATAGAGAAGACCAATCTTTCACAAAGCCGAAGAGTCCTGTTAAAGTTCTTCAAAGGGAAATGTTGACGGAGCGACAAGATACAATTAATCATGCGGAGAATAAAGCTCTAGCGGAAAAAACAGAGGAACCGAAAACTGTCCCCGTGACAGATTTAGATGAGGATCTAAAAAAGAATGATGAACTTGTGGTTGATACGTATCCAGAAAAACAAGACGTCTGTAATTCAGAACTCGCGCGTGCCGTCGATCAAACGCCGTCATATGAAGAAAAGAATTCTGTAAAACTAGAATCCAATAAAATGCCTTTGATGGAAACGAAAGAGATGGAAGTGCCAGCTATACAATTGACTCTTCAGAAGAATGCCAATAAGTTTGTCAAAGGCAATGCGCGAACGCGAAGAGCGCAAACAACCAAAGATGATAAGCATAACTCTTCGGAGAGTCCAAAACGCTCACAGCCAACGGTGAATAGCATTATCAAGAGTGTATTCAAGATTAACCCAGGCGGGTCCAGTGAGGAATCATCCAGTAAGAAAAAGGCGAATGGCCAAGCAAGGCCGACTAATGGCAAAGCGATGTATGAAAATGAGGAACAGGTACAGCAGGGATATACAATATTGAAAAAGGAGGCTCAGGAGGAGATGGTGAGCGAGATCGCTCAATTATCTATTCAAGACTGCAAGGACGTGACTGAAGTCGCTCCCGTACTCTCGTGATAGCCAGGCCTACAGCTGGTACTCAGCTGTGTTAGCGCGCGACCAAGGGCTTTGTTGTAAATAGATAGAACTTTATTCAATAGAAAGAAGAAACAAAAGACACCGCAGATAGAGGAGAGGAAGAGGGAAATACATCTTTGACAAAATCCAGACCTTTGAATGGAATTGATACGTCCTTGAGACGACTTCGATTATCATTGCGCGAATACCTCACTCAATATCATTTGTAATTTTATGTCTATCACAGTGCTGTCGAATTCTTTGATATTTGAAGCACTGTCATTTATTGAAGACACTTCAATAGTCGATATTTTAATTTTTAATGATCCACAACTGCCCGATATAAAATGTTTTTGTTATTGAAAAGTTTATACTTCTTGACAAATTATGATAAATTCCAAGCCTAAGATAAACAAGATAGCAGTGTAGATCGTTAAGGATTAATCAGCAGCATCAGCAGGCTGTGAGAATTATTGCGAACATCGCAAATGTGATCATACTAAAGTAACGGTACTACGTGTGTGATATCAAGGAACGTATTTATCAGCTTTAGTCGACTATGGAAATGTCAAGAAACTTATTCGCAATCGAAGCTGGGTACAGTTTGAATTCATGTATAGTTTAAGTCATCAATTTTTATGATTATTTTTTAAAAATCGTTTTAAGTAATAGTTTTAGATGTTTCAGTATCTATTATAGTTTTCATATCGCTGTACCTGTAATTACAAAGTTAATTGAGTTTTGAAATATCGAGTTTTTATTGCAGTGGAATTTATAAAATTTTTTTTACCTAGATTAGCCAGATGAATCTAATTCTTTTTATTCTATATTTTGTAAAAAAATAAGCATTTAAATGAAATATTATAACTTGTTAAATGTTAATTCTTATTTTGAATAAGTATATATATAATATGGATATATATCTATATCTACCCTCTAAAAATAAGTATAAATATTATTTGTTTGCTATTTTTTACTGTACCTACTACGGTGACGAATGTGATCACTTGAGAGCATAAATTCACGCTTGCTAATCGAGATCCGTCTATCTAGTAATCAATCTGCTTCCAATATCTCGCAGCAAATGAGGTCAGATAAATAGAGGAGGTAGTATTAAGATATTTTTAAGTGTATGAGATTTTTGAACGCTGCCTCATTGTCTCTACGCACGAAAACAAATTGAAGTTAATTTTAAATTGAACTAAGCTGGGTAAAAATGCCAGCATGTTTCCGAATGTTACTAAACATTGTGTTATCATGCAATGGTTTACATGTCTCTAAATTATCGAAGACTTGTTGAAGCATTATTTAATGTAGTAATAGGTATATACGCGAGATTGGAGATATTCAACATTTTTGTTAGATTAATTGATGGAATGTGCAAATCAGTAATAACCGTGAAATTCACTCCATAATTGAAATGACTGAATCTGTGTTTTGCCCAGCTCCATTAAGTATACAGCGATATTGTCTATAGTTAAGATAAATTCGTAAGTTTAAGCCGGAATAGTATGTCGTTATTAGGCGAACGTTGCTGTAGATTTACGAAGAAAGAAGCATTTCATTATAGAATGTAAAACTGATTATCTCGTACTTATCTTTCCACAAAGCAATCGAAAAATTTCTATTAAAATTTTTCCATGGCAAAACTTTGTTCACATTACATTAAATACGGTAACTGTCCAGTTGCATAGTACTCGAACATTTCGCAAAATTTTAATGGAATTATTTATATTATCGTATAATTAAATAAGTTCATTTAAATTTCAACATAATTTTGCTTAAACAATGATTGCCGCAAAAATATTGGAGCAATATCATACTGTTTTTCAGCATCAATAATGTGAATATCTTATGACTTAATAACGTATTTGAATAGATAGTTTACGATTTATATTTCAAAGATTATGTAATTACAATTTGTTGTAATTACAATTAATAGTTTTACAGTTTAAAATATAGCATTTTATAGTTTAATAAATAATCATTCAAAGATATCAGACAAAATATGAACAAATAATAAATTAAAAAATATATATGAAAAATTTCTTGCGGAAAATACATTGTTTATTAATTAGATAGACAATGCTTGTCCAGATTATGATATTTCGAGGAAAACAAACGCAACTGGATTACTACTGTACCTGAAATATGAATGGAGCGTAAAGCTTCTCTTTTCTCTTTTACAGCCAGTGAGTCATTTTTTATAATAATCTTATCATTATTCTGGATGTTTAAACTTTACAAAAATAATTTAAATTTACATATGTTGTTTTAAATTTATATGTATTACAGAAGCGCTAAAAATACATACATATAATATACATATATTTAATAAGAAAATATATATTAAAAATCGTGATATTTTGTTTAATTCGATGAATTAAACAAACTAAATTAGGAAGAATTAAACGACTCACTGGTGTGTTCGTACAAAATCGCATCTATTTTCTTGATTGCCTGATCTAATTTGTCAATCATATTTTAATTTCTTCAACTATTCATATCATGAATTTTTGTTCCAACGATTGTCCTCCACGCGTTAAATACTCAGAGTCAATTTGCGATTTAGAGGACTAATCTGCCATTACAAACTCGCTGTAATCTCGTAAATAATCGAGAAAACATATAGGGTTATTACATAATAATCGATTTGAGGAAACCTCATTTCTCGGTCGGACATACTTTGTTTAGTCAGCTTAAGAAAGAAGATATGTGCATGATATACAATCTGATCGAGACTAATTGGTCAATTATCGCGCACACAATCGCCCAATTATTTCTTGATTAGTCACGACTAGGTCACACACATTTTCTTATTTAATACGTAATGGAACTGTCTAAACGCACATCATATATCGACGATCTTGTTCCTGAAAACGCTGAACAAAAACAATAGTTTTAGCAAAAAAAATCTAACGTTTAATGCGTTATGTAGTCATCGATGCTCCTAATGCTAACAAACGGTCTTCTAATGTAAGCGTGAAAATAGTGTTTGGCCTCCAACATAAATGATATACTGTCATTGTATTTTAACAGTTTTCAACAATCGCTGCCACAATAAGAGCGGCGGATAAAGCTGCCATTTTTAAATTAAAATAGTTGGAAAGAGTCGATTTTAATCGTGCAGTATCATATGTATGTATGTATGTATGTGTATGTATGTATGTATGTGTGAATGTGTATGTGCGTCCTTGTACAGGTGGTCACAGAAAGGTTGTAACACTTTCAGAATACAGCTTGCTCATTGAGCGATTGGTTCTTATTCATGGATCCATAAATAAGAACCAATCGTTTGATGAGTAAGCTACATTTCGAAACCCATCGAAAAAAAAGTGTTGCAACCTTTCTATGACCGGCTGTATGTATGTATCTAAAATCGATAATTGGCTGTCTTAGACTTCAACGAAGTCGACTTTATCAAAAATATATTTTTGTACTTCGTAATGCAGCTTCTTGGCTGAGAACAGGGCAATTTAGAAATTCGCGAAATTGTCCCTCAAAACTAAGTATTATTTTTTTACAAACAAAAAAGAATATGTTAAATAATCACATCGTTACCATGCTTAGAAATAAATTCTGTATCTTATTTTCATATTTTTTTTTTATTTATATTATAAATATTATATAAGACTGGGACTTGTTTTTTTATTATCTTTAATTAAAAAGCTGGTAAATTATAATATTCGAATGAACAAAATGAACTGCTTATTGCAAATAAAAGGCAAATAAAATGCTTATTGCGTTTTTATAGAAACATAAAAACCTGTATCGTAGGATTTATTTCTTGTAATGGAGTAAAAGTAACTGGAAGAGCGCGCTTTGAATGTTAGCTGCAAAAATTAATATAAGAATGTCTGTAAATGTTCAGAAACGGCATTTTACAGAAAAAAAAAAATCTTCAGTTATGTCGCCATTCTTCTAACATTCTGGATATATATCTATTAATAGTTTTAAGAGACCTTGATTCGGACTACTACAGGGAGACTCTTTGCAACTATTTAAATTTGCGAACCGCACTTTTATCATGATCCCTGTGTCACATGCTTCGACATTTTAGAATGTACTTGCGAGCTTTTCGAAACCGAAGAGAATCGCCTCCTCTCGAATTTTATTCTCGGATATTTAGTCACGTTTGTTCAGTGTATTTGAGGTGCTTCGTTATAATAATGTTACGAGAGAGATCTCATTTCGCGAATAATTACTTGTTTACGTATATTTGCACGGAAAGGACCAATCCGCAAAGAGAGACAGTGCAATTATAAACGCGGAAGAAAAGAAGAGATAAAATAAATGTGCGCCGCATAAAATGTGATGATGCGAAAATACCTCTGTTATTTTTGAAAATCGCGACTTTATGATTTATCGGCTAAATTTTCCTAGAAACAGTATAGGAATAAGGCTGTGTAATCACTATTAGCGACATTATTTTGCAACCTGAGTCCTTTCTACGATGTAGACAATCTATTAAGTACACTAAGCGCCATGACAGCAACGACTCGGTTAAACTGCGTCGTGGCATGTGAATCAATGTATTGTTTATTCGCGTGATTTTTACGTTCGAGAATGAGATGTAGCACGAGCTTGAAGGGAAAACCGCGAATTCAACGATGATACAGCCTCACGAATAATTTATAAGATGCAATGGGCTTTTTATTATTCTGTAGAATCAGCAAACTTTCATGTTTCATGGACACTGAAATTCACGTAAATTATAAATTACTGGATAGATAGTAACTCTGGTAGAAATGTATGCAGTTTTTCTAGACACCTATCCAGTTACTATCTAATATTACTGTATTCTCATTAATTGTGCCAATACTGAGTAGGAAATGGACAAGAATTTAATAGAGTTTTATTCTGTCCATTTCACAAGCAGTTGGCTTGCTTATTAACTAATTTAATTTCCATTATTTCTTGTGTTTCTATTCAGTAAATGGATTCAGATTTTATGCAACTCTTTTGTATGCAGTAACTGCAAAGTGTTACATCCTGATTGGGATCCTAAGTAGTTTTCCTTCTCAGTTACTAGACAGAAGTTGGTGTAACTGTTTAGTAACTGCTCAAAAAATGCATGAAATTTCTACCAGGGAATTTGTCTTTCGCCAGATGCATAAATTTGATAAAAAAGAACAATGTTTTAAACAAATTAGTGTTTAACTTTGCATATGAAATTATTACCGTAGTTATACGATAACAATAATTTCTAATAATTACAAATTCTGATTCTGTCAATACATTTATCTGCGAATAAAGCATACAATTATATATCTTATTTTTTTAATTCTTTTTTTCTTTCAGTTTTCACTCGAATACAGAACATAGCAAATGGCGCTTAGTGCGCATTGACGGACGTTTATTTATAAGTTTATTTAAGGTGAATTAAATTTGTGTATTTTGCAGATCTTTAATAACGATATTGAAATACTGTAATTCTGAGTGCTTCTTTTAAGTCTTCGGAAAACAGCGTATTCGAACGCCGATGAACATTTTGTCAGTTTTATGACTTTATCACGGTGTTTCTCTTTTAATTATAATTTGATAGCGGCTTGGCCCGTTCCTCTGCCAAAATTTTCTCGACGCCGCTC